AAATATTAAAAGAAGAGAGATAGCTCCATAAATAGATCAATAATGAATTTTTTGTTTTCAAAAAAGTTGTCCACCTTGGCATCTTGTGAATTCTCCAAGTGCTTATGTGGCAAGAAGTTACTTTTGAATTGCCATAATATATAGTATAGATAGATAGATATAGATAGATAGATAGATAGATAGATAGATATAGATGTAGGATAATGAAGACGAGTTCAAATGAGGAGATGCTTTAGTACATAAAGGACAAGAAAAATGGTGACAAGGTATGCAATAAGGTTAGTAAATGCTATATGATTTACTATAGAATCTCTCTTAACAACTCGAATTATTGGGATCAATTGGTTCTTAATATGGTATCAGAGCCTTCTGTGACTGAGAGGTATTCTGTTCGAATCTCGGTGACCCCCATTTGTTTCTATTAAGCACATGGTGTCTGATGCTTGTGCAAACTTCAAGCCCATATATGGTGGCTTTCGTTTGAGGGGGTGTGTTAGTAAATGGTATATGATCTACGATCGAACCTAGCTCTCCCAACAACTCGAGTTATTGGGATCAACTGGTTCTTGACAAATAGATCCAAATTTAGTGAGGCGGTGAATGGAGGATGAGGAACCGACCATTGTGTAATAGTTGAGCCATGAGATTTGATCGGCATGGCGAGGTTAACGATGAAGGTTTTGGTGGTGGTAGAGGGTTTAATGTAAGGATTGAAATACCGTACTGAAGGTCGTACCGGAAAAGTGACTTGTATGGTAATTTAAGCTGAAATCGTGGTTTAACCATTTCATATCGCTAAATACCGCATATCGTTGTTGCATTGGGTAAGAGGTTTTTCTGGTCGAACCACTGGTATGGTACGATTTTTCAATCATTGGTTTAATGTGGAGGTGGGTTAGGATTTTTAATTGGTGGAACAATTTTTAGAAAGCGGTAGGATTAGTGCTCTAAGTTCAGTTTGTTGTTCATGTTGGGACAGTGAGAAGAAAGTGAAGAGATGAAGGAAAAGAGCAATGAGTTTGAACTGGATGAGAGAAGCTATTGTTGAAAAAATTGATGTGTGATCTATGTAGTCTTTTTCATTCGGCAGAAGTCATATGATTTTCCCAATTCAATATTGATATCTATATTTCAATCGCAGAGTCGGCGGTGCTCTTTGTCTCTTTTCATTTTAGGGTTCACTGCAGGAGGAAATTTTGGGAAAGACAAAGAAGATCGGGGGTGGCGAGAGTTTGTTTGTTTTAAATTCGAGATTTTATTTGAAAGAAATGTGATCGTTTTGGAGAGATAAACATATGTACTTACACTCGTTTAATTGTTGGTTTAATTGTTAATTGATTATTCGATTATCGGTTATACTGAGAAAAACTTCAGTGGGACGGGTGCATTGCACCATCCGAATTAAATCTTGTCGTGTGTTAAATTGAAATTAATGAAATATAATTTTCTTTTATTATAGTCTAATTAATCAATAAAAATCAAAAAATAAAACATGGAAGATAATAGAAGATGGGCAACTCTCAATCTCTCATGGGTCACGCGGATGGAAGGAATATGAATTCAGAATCCGTTGCCCTATTGAACTTTCTGGCCGGCGATTCTGCATTTTCTCCATGGAAAGGGTTTTGTTCAATTATTTTCCTAATTAGTTACCGATTAAAATGATAATTACTTTCTTTAATTAAATGGACACATGGCAGCTTTTAATTGGGGCGGTGCAATGCACCAGTCTCACTGAAGTTTTTCTCCGGTTATACCCAAACCCATTTTACTCCACCAATAACCATACCACTTGACTCATAAACATGGATTACCATTTAGGTTAATGATTTAAATATCACTCCTACAAACCTGAAAGGCTGAAACCCAGCGGATGAATGAATGTAGAGAGTGCTTATTACTATCCAGACCAGGCGAGGAGCTGGTTTAAAAGATTCTCGCACAACCGCAAAAGACGTGGCATAATATTTTCTATATTATCTCCCCAAGTCACTCCAGCTAGCTATACACATAATACGAACTCTAACGTTATATAATGACCACAAGGGCTTTACCTAATCCGATAATAAAGTGACATAATTAAGATTATCCCGGATAATAATAATAATCATATTAATTCTTGAACCTCTCCGTTTCTAGCTTAATCAATCCTATCTTTCCAAACCCCCAGCTGGGCAAGGTCGATTATAATAATTGTATGCTCTTAATTTGCTCATGATCACGTCGATAAGGGCTGGCCATATAAATCACAACGTTACCATATTAAATAATAATTGTATGCTCTTAATTTCGATCAGCTGCTTAGAATCAACTCCGTTTTTTTTTAATTGTAGTTTAAAGATACATAAAGGTATTGTAAGTTTGTAACACTTTAGGCGAATCCCACGTCGACAAAGCACAGGAGAGATTCATGGTTCATAAGTAAAAAAACCGGCATTAACTGACAAGAAGCGTTTTGGGGTAAAATGGAGGAGTTCAAGTTAAGCGTACTAAGTGTGGAGTATAACAAGGATGAGTGACCTCATGGGAAGTCACCTTGAATATCTTGCTCAAGAAAAAGTCCGGGACGTTACAATCAACTTAAACGTTATTGAAAATATTATATTAAACTGTCACATTGATCGTCTGCATTATAGAATGTGGTCTACATTTGACGAGAAAATGGAAGCTGAGATAATCCATCATTCGTTTGTCTATAAATATTACTGAACGAAGAGTTAAAGAGTCGACGTCACAAAATCGACATATATTATACGAGTGAGGGAATACATGCCACATTGAGATCATGCGCGAAACACAACAGGAAATGTGACTCACTCAACCATAACAACGTACATATTGAGAACAAGCCCCATTCATTTCTCTAACAAGCCCAGCCTTAACGTCTATATTGAAAATCGTTACCCGGCTTTCACGATCGGTATAGTCGACTGAGAGGAGGACTTGCGAAGTTTGAGCAGTCAAAAAAGGGCTGCAGAAAGAGAGGGACAGAACAGAACAGAAGTGATTACTGCAAGATACGGTGAACCATTCATTGTCAGAGTACAGCTGTAGACTGTGGTTAAAGAAGATCCTTACGGACGTGGCATCAAGTTTTTGGCTCATGTAGCACATCCCCACTACTCTACCGCCACGTGTCGTGAAAGTGGCACGAGGAGCACATGTGCGTAATAAGGCCCGACAGCGGAGGAAGGGGGCGGCCCGGTCGGCTGTTGCATTCCGCAAAGATGTCAAAGTTATTCAATGGGCATGATGTCTATTCACTTCACTTGATCCAGGCTAGCTATCATTCTATTACCGGCTTTGCATGATATGTACGTAGTACTGTAATTGTACTAACAACAGTGGAACAGTTTACTTATTCAACATTGATTTACCTTTTCTCTCACTTCGATTCTAGTTAAAATGAGATCGATGTAGAAGATATTAAGAGAGTAAAATGGTATAAAAACGTGATCTTTTTCAGCTTTGTTTGATGTCAAGAATTCGTTGCTCCCAATAATTCGAGTTGTTGGAAAAGGGATAATTAACCCTTTTAACCTTTTATACGTCCCTTCAAACGAAAGCCGATGCCGAATTGTGGAATTTTTTTTTACGGTTTGCACAGGTTGAACCCTTGTGCTGCCAAACCACGAGGCTTTAGTTTGCACAGGTTGAACATACCATCCCTTGTGCTAAACAAATGGCTGAAAATGGGGTCGTCATGAGGATTCGAAACCATGACCTTTCGGTTCTAGGCTCTGATACCATGTTAGCGAACTAACCACTTGGCCCCAATAACTCGAGTTATTGGGACCAACTGGTTTATGACATGGTATCAGACAATCAGAGCCTTCCGTGACCGAGAGGTCTCGTGTTCGATTCCCGGTGACCCCCATTTGTTAAGCACATGGTATTCTTGTCTTCAAACCTGTGCAAACTTCAAGCCCTTGTGAGTGGTTTTCGTTTGAGGGGGCGTGTTAGTGTTGTGGTATATGATCTACGATTGAACCTCTCCCAACAACTTGAGTTATTGGAGCCAAGTGGTTACCATGTCAAGAACCAATTGCTCCCAATAACTCGAGTTGTTGGGAAAGAGATAGTTAAGTCTTTTAACCTTTTATAGATGAACTTTTGAATTTGTCAAATTTACTTAATTATTATCGTTATTTATTATTGTACAATTATATAATTTGTCAAGTGATGTATCTTCGATCAACATCATTCATGTAATAATTGTAACATGATTAACATTCAGACACCTAATCACGGTGAGTACAGATTATGAAAATCACATTCGATATTCATACATTAGAAAATGAGCGAGCGCTAGTCCATGTAAAATTCTATAGCCAAGCCAAATTCTTCTTCACTCCACTCCAACAGTGGCCGCCGGGGATCCATTATTCTAACATGGGCGGTGGGTTTTTGCGAGCCATCATCGTCATCATTTTATGGCCAATTTTTTGTGACAACTATGAAAAGCACTCATCCACAATGGCGTTTTCCATCCAAAAAACGACAATACATCTTCACCTAACGAAAAAACAAAACCCCCATTTTCCTCCCATTTTCTTTTCCCGCCCTCCCCACAAAAATGATCCATGATTGGTAATGGTCGGTCGTAGGAGAGCTCAAAATAATGTTATATAATATAGGTGGTATAGCATATGTTATTAATCTCTTTTAACAATTTAAGTTATAGAAAGTAAGTGACTATTTTTATAATATTAGAGTTTTCATGATTAAGATGTTTTTATATTCGAGTAATGATGAATTCAAACTATAGATATTCTTACATGTATCATTTAAAATCCGGTTTTAACTTCCACCGTTTTTTTTAAGAGGACCAACACTATCCATTGATTTATTTAGCCTACTTTGTATTCTAATCCGAAAATTGAACATCGAATAGACCTTTTCTCGTAGAGCTTTCATTATTTATTTAACACGTAAAATTTATAATTTGTACAAATTTCAAACCCATATAAATTATTTTCATTCGATACATGCTAATATACCGTATAAAATTCATTGTTAAATCTCACTCAACATAGTTTCGTCAATAAACCCTCACACTCCTCCACCACACGATCCCCCATCCTATAAAACCCACCTCATCACACTCCTTCACCTCCTCATCCAAACCAGCAACAGCCTCCCCACCAACAAAAAAAAAAACAGAGCTTTCCCGGCAGATTCACAGAGACAGAGAGAGATGGAGGGAAAGGAAGAAGATGTCAGACTGGGAGCCAACAAGTTCAACGAGCGGCAGCCGATCGGAACGGCGGCTCAAACCCACGACGACAAGGACTACAGGGAGCCGCCGCCGGCTCCCCTGTTCGAGCCAGGGGAGCTCACCTCCTGGTCCTTCTACCGGGCCGGAATCGCCGAGTTCATCGCCACTTTCCTCTTCCTCTACATCAGCGTCCTCACCGTCATGGGCGTCGTCAAGAGCCCCTCAAAATGCTCCACCGTCGGCATCCAGGGCATCGCCTGGGCCTTCGGAGGAATGATCTTCGCCCTCGTTTACTGCACCGCCGGAATCTCAGGTCCCCCAAATTCAAATTTCAAATTCAAATTCAGTTCCAGGAATTCAAATTTGACTGACAATTTTTTTAAACAGGGGGACACATAAACCCTGCGGTGACGTTCGGGCTGTTCCTGGCGAGGAAGCTGTCGCTGACGAGGGCGGTGTTCTACATGGTGATGCAGTGCCTCGGCGCGATCTGCGGTGCCGGAGTTGTGAAAGGTTTCGAAGGGAAGCAGCAGTTTCAGCTTCTCGGCGGCGGTGCTAACTCCGTCGCCGGTGGATACACCAAGGGAGATGGGCTCGGTGCTGAAATCGTCGGCACTTTTGTTCTTGTCTACACCGTCTTCTCTGCCACCGACGCCAAGCGTAGCGCCAGAGACTCCCACGTCCCCGTAATGAACTAACTAATTCGCTCAATCGCATGTGCTCTGTTTTCGTTTGGATTGAAACTAATGGTGTTTTTTATCCGATTACCCAGATTTTGGCGCCACTGCCAATTGGGTTCGCGGTGTTCTTGGTCCACTTGGCCACAATTCCGATCACCGGAACGGGAATCAACCCGGCTCGGAGCCTCGGCGCGGCCATCGTCTTCAACCAGGACAAGGGCTGGGATGATCACGTTAGTTTCCATTACCTTCATTTTTAACATTTTTTTTTTTTTTTACAGTGGTGATAAGTAACACAATTAAGGCGGTAAATTAAAATGTTTTTAACGCAATTGCAGTGGATCTTCTGGGTGGGCCCATTCATCGGAGCGGCGCTGGCAGCTCTGTACCACACAGTCGTGATCAGGGCCATTCCTTTCAAGAAGTGAGGATGGAAGATCGACGGCCACGATTTGCAGCGTTTTTCTCTTTGCTCTGTTCTGAGCTGTGTCACTGTCATGTAATATTTAATAAAAAATCTCCCTTTTTTTTTAATCTGCGATTGAAGTGAGCATTTTATTTCCCCCCTTATGTATTTTTTATTTTCAGCTGTGAGGGGGAATAATGTGTGCTGAGTGGTGGGGGTGATGGATGGTGGGCCCACAGCTTAATTGGAAAGGTGGGCCCCCTGTGTATGTAACTGTTATGTGGGCTGGGCTATGGTAATTATTATGAGATAATTGAAATGTCGTTTTCTGTCTTTGCCGACCAGAAAAAAGTAAACCTACTACTGTGTCGTTATGTAATGAGACGACGTCGATTATTTGACTTTTGTTAATTGCAATTTGTCTTTGTTCTGTGCTTTGCTGGGATTAGGTTTGATGATGGATACTTGGGGATTAGGTGGCTCGTTTCCGTTGATGATAATTGGGTTGTGATAATGTTACATCTTATCAAAGGGCCATCATTTAAGTTGATCATTATCGGTGGCAACAAATTAAACCAAAGAGAAAACAATGAACCACATGGAAAGAAAGAGCTAGAGAAACAGAGGTCACATCATTATATCAGTAGCCGGCGGGAGATTTGGAAACTTGTTGCTGCCGGGCACTAAGCTGTTGCTGCTGACCATAAGAAGGGGAGGAAGAGTAAAAGAACGGGCCGAGAGGGTAAAGCTTGACCCGCTTGTCGTGGAGGATTCTGTACGAAGAGAGTTTGGCGCCGTTGATGCCCTTGTTCACATCCGTAGGCACACTGCATTTCTCCGACGGAGATTTCTCCAGGAAGGCCCTGCACAGCTCTGGTTTCAGTTTACCATAGTACGGCAGCCTCTCGAAGAAATAGCCCCTCGCGTCTGTTGAGCACCGCGACTCTTCTTCCACTCCCGAGCAAGTTATTCTCACCACAGCTCCTGCAAAAATTGCAACAGCTAGCATTTTGACAACTCTAGATTATTATAAAACATGAACAATTTGGTCTCTGAATTGCCAAGTTTTTTCTATGCAGTTAGTTCCCACAACATTTCTTCCCCTAGAGATGTTCCATAACAACTAATTTTCGGTTGATTAAAATCGAAGAATTTTGATATGTGGTGGATGGATGATATCATCCATTCCCACTCTGTTTGTGAACAGTAATTCAAATTTTGGTTACCGTGAAGAGGGTAGTAGTCGGATCCTGATTTGCAAGCTACGACGCCTTCCACACCATTAGCAAACACGTCTTCCGGTTTTGAACCAAACGCCCCGTCGTAGGTCGATTTCTTCCCGAAGCGAACCTCTGGCTTCTCTGCTTCAGGGGCCAATGCCTTGATGTCGCTGGTTTGCGATTTCGTATCGTACACATTTCCTGATCCAGACATGCGTTCGACTTCTTCTTGCTCGTACCGGTGCATCTTCGAGTCCAGTTTCTCCGAATCTGTCGTCGAAACATAACTGTTGTGATAAGCGGGTTCGTGATCATGATCAGGCTTGATTACTGAAGTAGAAGCAGTAGGGTTGTAGTTTTCCGCAGAGGCAATGGCTACTAATAACAGGGCCAACGCAAGGGCAAATGAGCCCTTTGAGAAATGGATTGCGGCAGCCATTAGGATTTAGGAATATTGGAGGAAGGAGCTTCTGGGTTTGTAGAAGGGAGACAGAACAATGTGGAAGTTCGATCGGAATGGTGATTGTTATGGTCACCAGTAGGGGTTTTTTGTTTTTGTTTTTATATAGTGAAGAAACGATTTTGTTCAACTTGTACTAGCTAGCTAGGGACTCTTTGAGTTGTTAGAGGGAAGCAAGTCATGTGAGACGTGTAGAGCAACACATATACATGTGACATCAACGAGTGCCAATTGTATAATGGCATAGCAAATAGGGCAGTTTTGGGAAGCGGTGGTCAGCATGTTATAATAGGCTAATTGGGAGCTTAGCTTGAGACCACTAATAAAATCTCTATATTTCCATTTTATTAGATTTTGTAGAAAATCGTCATATATGGATTTATTAAATCGTTCAGATTAGACATAATAAGCGATCTACTAATCAATCTCATTATCTCAACGTACGTTGCTTCTATACTAATACAGTAATATGATTTCATCTAAATCTCATAACGAATTTCTTTCAATCAAATAACAAATAGGGTTCCAGCCTTACACATATACAACAACTTTAGTAACCTTGTTTATGATCACTATTTACAAGCCAACACAAACTTATGGTTTGTTTACAAACATATATTATAGGAGGTGGCGTCTTCAACGCACTCACTTTTTTGGGTGCATTCAGTACACTCATTTCATAACCGTCATTTTAAACATGTGATTCATGTCAAAATGATGTCAATCATCACTTATGATGTGATAAACAATAAAGCACACGAATTTGCACAAAAACCATTCATGATTTACTTTAATTTGAAGGGTTTAGAGATTTAGGGTTAGGGTTTACAATTTGGGTTTTAGTGATAGAATTCAAAATTGGAGGTCTAGGTCTTAGGGTAATCGTTAATTAGTTGTTATCATATGCTATATCATCTATTACACTAATTCTACAAATTAAAATTCAAAATCTGACACCTTAAGACTAGTTTTTGAGTTGGGTGCATTGTACACACTCATTTTCGTGAGTGCACCGAAGTAGTCACCATTATAGAATAATTGAGTTTCAACAAATTTCTAATTTTGAAAATGAGGCGGTAGGAATTCATCTAATGTTAAATTTAATTTTGATAATTTCTTTTGACAAAGAATATTTGATTAATATAATTTATCGTAGTAATTAGATGATTTTTCGAAAGTTCCAACTCTAGCCAACTCTTTGTAGAATATACGTGGTCGTATATTGTGACATTATATACGGTAAAAATATATAATGGAGAAGAACAATATGTGAATCAGTAGAGATGGCAAATGGATTGGATTGGTGGATTGATGGATTGGATTGGTGGATCCATGGATCAAATGGATTGGATCTAATGGATTGGTGGATTCATGGATTGGATCAAGTGGATTGGTGGATTATCCATGAATCCAAATGGCATCCTCAACCAAGGACCAATATGTAAAATGTAAAAAGTTTAGGTACTAAAATGTCATAATGAAAAATTTTAGATACCAAAACGTAATTTTCCAATGATATTTTTCGTATAAAAAATTAAATTTTAGGTACCAAAATGTAAAAAATAAAAATTATAGGTACTAAACCGTAATTTGCCAATGATCTATGGATCCAATCCATGAATCCACCAATCCAATTGAATTTGGATTAAATGGATTGAATTTAAATGGATTGGATTAGATGGATATTTTGAATGGATTGATGGATTGGATTAGTGGATTGGATTGAAATTGCCACCTCTATGTGAATGTAAAAATCATGTAGTATGAAAATGAATGGCTAAATAGTAAATACATGGTTGTCAATCCTCCCAAGGTGCAAGGAAAACTGAAGGACTCAGCGCTTGGGCTAGAACAAAAGCCCAGAACAGTAATTGGTTGAACGACCAACATGAACAAGTAAAACTCTAAGCCCAAATCACTATGTTTGGGTTTCCATATTTCCTAGACCTTAGCCCTTGGGCAAGCTGTAACGCAGCAACTGCAAACTGTGCTCAGCGCCAAAAACCCTAGCTAATCGCTTGCTGGCTTTTCCGCTTTCCTTCTCCTTTCTGCCCCTCTCTGCTTCATTCGAGATCGAAAAATGGCGACGAGCGAGCAGACAGTACTCCAGTTCGCGCCGACGGCGACTTCGGTTACTTTGTCGGCGAAGGTTCACCCGCTGGTCGTCTTCAATATATGTGATTGCTACGTGAGGCGGCCGGACCAAGCCGAGCGGGTCATTGGCACGTTGCTGGGGTCCGTATTGCCCGACGGCACTGTTGATATCCGTAACTCTTACGCCGTTCCTCACAATGAGTCGTCCGATCAGGTTATCACAGCTTCCTTAAAACTTTTCGAAACTAATGGCGGCTGGTAATCGGTGTAGGACTTAGGTCAATTGAATTTGATATTCTGAGAGTAGTGGATTTGGCAGACCGTGGGATGTAACACACGGTCAATAGTCGGCGGTGAATGTTTGGATATGGTGGAATTATAGAGTGGCACGAGAAATGATTGTTTTGACTTTTGAGACTAAGTGTAGTGTTGTTGGATAGAGGAATTTCTGGAGATTAATTGGGCAAAGAATTTGTGGAGCTTAATGTACTATCTTATTAGAGGAATTTATGGTAGCTATTTTGTGATAGCTACAGTTTCCTATCGGTGTGGATTGGAAGTCTTGCGTTGGCATTTCGAGGAGCTGTTTCGAATAGACTGTAACTTAGGGGGTGGAAGAATGCTTCACAACACTGCATTTTTTTCTGGGTTTGTGCTAGCTTCAGTTTCCTACCGGTATGGATTGGGAGTGTTGCGTTGGCATTTCGAGGGGCTGTTTGGAATGGACTATACCTTAGGGGGTGGAGAAGGCTTCACAAGAGTGCATTTGTTTTTTTGGGTTTGTTGCTAGATGGAAAATGTTTGTCGTCAGACATTGCGATTGATATATTTGCTTTCTTGGTTTGGTTTGCCAGCTGTGATGCGTTTCTGATTCTAGCTCTATGATTCTTTGGATGATTTTCTGAGCTTTTATTTCAATATGCAGGTTGCATTGGATATTGATTACCATCATAACATGCTGTTATCCCATCAAAAAGTTAATCCAAAGGAAGTCATTGTTGGCTGGTAAAATCTTATTTATATATTTCCTCTGCTTATTGATATGGGGGCAATAGAGTCCGTATATGAGCATTAGTGGTTATTTAATTGACATGTGTTTCCAGAACTTCGAAGAATTTACCCTTGGAAATCTTTTCCTGTTGATATCATTGCTCTCTTTCTTTTCCTATATGAAACCTGGGCCTCATAGTGACATGTTTTGCACTTTATATAGAATGAGGTACAAGTACGTTAATGTTTTGCTCCTCAATTCTTGCACTTATATCTAAATCTAATTATTATTGTGGTAGGTATTCAACCGGTCTGGGAGTCAGTGGTGGGAGCGCACTCATCCATGAGTTCTACGCTAGAGAAGTTCCCAACCCTGTTCATCTAACTGTTGACACTGGATTCAGAATGGGGGAGCCTGCAATTAAAGCTTATGTTTCATTCAATTTGTCCCTTGGAGACCTTCAGCTAGCTGCACAATTTCAAGAAATCCCGCTCGACCTTCGCATGATTGAAGCAGAACGGATTGGATGTATGTATTTCCCCAAGTATACCTGATCTCACTGATGATCCGAATCCCATGTTGTGGCTTTGAGTAAATGAAATAAACAGAGTTGATTTTTGGTTTCTTGGCAATACCAGCTAATCTTGATTTGTTTTTTCCGCTTCTCTCCCATATGATGTTATGCAGTTGACATCCTGAAGACAACAATGGTGGACAAGCTACCGAGTGATTTGGAGGGAATGGAAGCCTCAATGCAGCGGCTACTTGCACTGATCGATGATGTCTACAAATATGTTGACAGTGTGGTGGTGAGTTGAGTTAGTTCCATTCATTTCATCATCTGGTTTCAGCCTCCTGATGGAATCCTACTATCTGCTTTCTTCAATCTTCTCAGCAAGGCGAGACTGCTCCAGATAACATCGTAGGAAGATTTATATCTGAAGTTGTTGCCTCACTTCCCAAACTGTCTCCTGCTGTATTGGATAAGTTAGTCAATGACAACATGCAGGTAAATCCCCTTCTGTTCATTCGATAATAACTTGTGTGTCAACTCTTAAATCATGTAGCGGTTCTTGTTCCTGACCTCGGTTCCCCTTCTTCACAGGACCATTTGCTCTTGCTGTATTTGTCGAGCATAACAAGGACACAGCTCAGTATAGCGGAGAAACTGAACACAGCTGCCCAGATTATCTGAAGTGCTATTCTTAGGGTTTTTGATTACTTTGGTTTCTGTGGACGACAGCATTGTCAGAGTTGCGAATCCAAATATATGAAGCCGTAGCAATTTTGATTGCTGTTATTATCTCTCGTCGTTTTAAGTTTTATCTCAATGATCTTGGTTCAACAGCTCTATTCTTGCCTGAAATAGATTTATGTAAACTGTATCACGGTATGGTGGAAGCGTAGATCGTTGCATTGGTGTCGAGATTGTTGGTGTGTATTCGTCCCTGGCTGGTCTTGATTTCTGGGTTCCTCGAGTCCTAATTTTCACTTCTTTGAACAGCCCGAGAGTCCTAAACTTGGTAATAGTTCATATATTCATCGTTCTTCTAACAAAAGATGATATAGGTTGTTTTAGGAGCTATTAAAGAGATTTGGATTTGATACTTCCAAGTTCAATACTGGTAGTATTATCACTAGGGGAATAATTGTAGAACTAGTTGTGGGATTAATTGCATGGTTGGTCACTGAGATTACAAAAAAATTTCATTTTTGGTCATTTGAAATATTTAATTCCATTAGTGGTCACTAAAATTAGTTAAAGAGTTCAAGTTTGGTCACTCTCTATCCATTTCCGTTAACTTTTGCTTATGTGACAGTCAACTCTTACAATTGACTGTTAAATGTGCCACGTAGCAATTAAAAAATTAATAAAAAATCATTTTTAAAATTTCTAAATCATTATTCCAACTTTAATAAAATAAAAATTACAAAATACCTAATTTCTTTTCTTCTAATCCCCATACTTGACTGAACCTCAACCCTCCATCTGCCGCTTCACTCACGCCGACCACCTCTCCCAAGAGATCCCCATCAATAGAAATTCCCAAAATCAAAGACAACCCAAAATCTCATCTCAATTCCCGTCGGCCACCTCCAACGAGATCCCATCAACATAACCCCCCCCCCCCCCCCCCCCCCTCCCCTCCCCCCTTGCCTTCCTCCAGTCCTCCCTGTGCCGTCGTCGCTCAGTTCAGAACAATTGCAGTGGATTTTAGTTAGCTGATTCCAGAAGTTCATCACCAAAAATGGCTTCAGACGATTCAAAGCCGCAAGGTGGAGACGACAGATATACTACGTCACTGGCCGAACGACAATCACCTTATCCTTCGCTCTTCGAGAATCGGAAGGAGCGTATTTTAATTTCCAAGTTCTGGCGATTGTCTTTTTATTGTATTTTTCTCACCTTCACCTTCTACTCCTTTGGTTACCTCTTTGTCCGAAATTGATGTTATTGAAGGGCCCTTCAGTGTTGATTGGCCAAAGACGTCGAGAATGGGGTCACCTGTTCGATTTTCGGGATATGAAGTAGATGCAGATAATGGCGTGTGAGGTGATAAGGAGTCGTACATAAACTCCACCACCAACCGCCGATCCATCCGTCGCCAATCCCTCTGCGATAATGGCGGGGGAGACGGCGGCAATTGCGACGGCAGTGGGGTTTGGTCGGTAGGATATGGGGATTAGAAGAAATTAGGTTTAATATTTTATTTTTTTAATAATTATGATAATGAGGTGGAAATTTAAAAGATTAATTTTTTTTATTTTTTTAATTGCCACTGTAGACACCACTTTTTGTCCGGGTTAATACATTTAAATAAACAAGTTTTAATTTTTGTATTGTCCGGTCCGGGTTAATATATTTAAATAAACAAGTTTTAATTTTTGTATAAGGATTGGCAATAGCGAATCTTAAACAACTTTCTAGTTAAAGCGTATTTGTAATGCTTGGGATTAATCATGTTTGCCTTAGCCAATTGACATTAGAAATAGCAAATCTCGATAAAGTTAACTTAATATTAACATGTTGATTATTTTGTTTTTTATAGACAAATTAAGCAATTGCTTAGTAGGTTGATGGTTGATTTGTTCTCAACTCATTTCGGATTTTGCAAGAACGGGTCTCGACTTTGAAATGATAAAAGAAAAAAGTACATAAAGAGCAATATCTTATTAAAGTATAATTACAATAACTAAAACACACAAGCAATTACAATCAGAACTCATCACACTTAATTACAAAGATCAAAGTCGGCACCTCAAACCTGCCAAAACTGCCAATTGCCTTAGGGGTCGTTTGGAGAACAAGATTCAGGACGTAGATTCACTGAATCCATAGATTTTGTAGAAAGTTATGTTTTTTTGTTGCTATTTGTACTGTGGATTCTAGCTTAAGAGATTTCAAATCTCTAAAATCTGCGGATATCAAATCTCTCATAATAAGAGAGATTCTATATCTTGATTCGTGAGATTTTTTTCTACTAGGTTTTCTCTTACTTTTATTTATTTATCACATGAAATATATTTATCGACATATTTTTTAATATTTATTGAACCACTCTAATTTTTTTATTAAGGATAAACAATTTATTTAATATAAAATTTTTATTTTTATTTTAATTGAATGTTAAGAATCACAGTTTCTGCCTTGATTTCGTAGCAACTTCGCGAGCTCGATTTGAGCTCTTCCGAACTCCGATTCCTGCGATGTCAAACTCTCGGTTTCCCCATATCTGCTCCCACGAGCCCGAAATAAATTCACAAAGTTGGTACGAAAACATATTCGTCACATTTTGTGCCGTATTAATTTCTTCGCGAAGGTTTCTCGTAACGAGTTGTGACTTGGCTTCGAGGCTTCGAATTGAGATTGCATCAAGTATACACCATACCAGGGAAGGTTTTATTTATATGATTGAAAAAATATTTTAAAGTGTTTTTATATGTTTAAATAAATGATACCAGTAACTTTTTTATTGATTACAAATATCATCATAAGTTATGTTTGTAGCAAAATTTAAATGATTTTATATATTATATAAATATTTATTTTATGATATTTAAATGGTTAATATGAAAGTGATAGTTGTCTCAACTTCATTAATTACATTTTTGACAATTATAAACACGTTGGCTTGGCATTTTAAGATCAAAGAAAGTCGTTATCAATTGATGTTTGCAATCGAGGGCAGAATTTCGAGCATCAGTTTCCTACACCACTTACTCTAGATTGTAAGGTTTGGGTAATGTAAGGTTTGGGTAAATCGTGTGTGTAATATTATTGAGAGAAGGGTATTTATACCCGTGAGTACAAGAGATACTATAGCACAAGAACTAGGAGTATGTAACTTAAGGTACAAGTAAACACACAGTTATTTATCCCTAATAAGCCCCGCAAGATGGAGGCGGCGCCAGCAAGCCCAATCTTGGACCGAAGTAGAAGAAAACGAGTACGCGGAAGCGGTTTGGTGAGCAAATCAGCAAGTTGAGAAGACATGGGAAGATGCCGAACAACCAACTGCTTAGACTGGACCAACTGACGCACGAAATGAAAATCCAAGGCAAGGTGTTTCATGCGCGAGTGGAACACCGGGTTTGAGATGAAATGGACAGCACCCAAGTTGTCACAAAATACGGTCGGAGGCGCGGTGAGAGGCTGGTGAAGCTTGATGAGCAGATTACGGAGCCACTGAACCTCTGAAGTGGCCAGGGCCAGCGCACGGTACTCAACTTCAGTACTGGAACGTGCAACCGTCCGCTGCTTCTTGGACTTCCAGGAAACGAGAGTATCACCAAGGTAGATCAAGAAGCCAGATGTCGATGTGCGATCATTAGGGTCACCAGCCCAGTCAGAATCCGTAAACACACGAAGAGAGAATGGCAGCCGAGTTCGAGTAATACTTAGACCAAGTGTGCGAGTACCAGCAACATACCGGAGTAAGCGCTTGACATACTGCCAATGCATAGTCGTGGGTGCATGCATAAACTGAGACATCCGATTTACGGCAAAGGCTACATCAGGTCGAGTGGTGACGAGGTACTGCAAGGCACCAACAACCTGACGGTATAGAGTAGCATCGGCCGAAGATGACCCATCAGAGAGACTGAGTCGAGCAGTGGAGGACAGTGGAGTGGAACACGGATTGGCCTCATGCATCTGAAAACAAGTGAGCAAGTCAACAACATACTTGTGCTGAGACAGAACAAAGCCTGTCGCCGTGGGAAGCACCTCGATCCCAAGGAAAAAATTGACGTGGCCAAGATGCTTAAGAGAGAACCGATCAGCTAGCTGGCGACGAAAGGAAGCGGGAGTCATTGCTGGTGAGAAGCAGATCATCAATATACATCAGGAAATAAGCAAGAACACCACCGTGACAATAGACAAATAAGGACGCATCGGAGCTAGTCTTCACAAAGCCACACGAAATGAGAAAGGAGCTCAACGCATCATACCATGCCAGCGGAGCTTGTCGCAGACCATAAATGGCTTTACGATGACGACTGTAACATCCTGTTACGGCAAAACCCATATTTCGATCGCTAGAAAGTTTCACGATTTAAAATCGAGCATTTCGACACTATTTCGGCGAAAATCGGATTATCGATCGATCGGATAAGTATACGTATTAATTATATATATATTAATTAAGCAGTCGTACATATATATATAAACCCTTCCCCGGTCCCTTTTAATTCTCATCATCATCAACTTTTCCATTTCCCCACCGAGAGGAAACCGAGAGCACAGCGAGCCGAGCAGAGCGAACAGGGGAGCTCGGGAGAAATTCCAAAGCTCAAATTCTTGAGCCCTAGTGATCCAAAAATCCCGTAAGTAATGCCTAATTCATCCATACATCGTGATTTATCGATTTAGAGCTTTAAAACGAGTTTTTGGTTCAGGAATTTCTTGAATTCCTGATCTGCCAAATTAGGGTTTCGGAGTATCCGGAAGCCGGATTGAGCCCAAATTTCATATACGAGCTTCCTGCAGCGAGGTAATCAATCCTCTAGTTCTAATCCCTGAATTTCGGCAATTATTTAGGCCGGGGTCCAAACCGCTGAATTTAGCTCCGGCCAGGGTTTGATGTGTTTTTATCGAGAATTTGACCCGAAGCCTAGAACTAATATTGACGGGGATACTGCAGGGGATATTAGGACGGTCTCGGATTTTAATTCGGGGTTCGTTCGTGAAATTGATGTTTTAGTACGGGAGGCTAGAACCGGTGTTTGAACGACCAGAACTGGTGAGGGGTTAGCACGGCATACCGGGTTTGTCGTATCACGATAATTATATTGATGCTTAGAATTGATCTAGGTGAACTAGAATGGCATGATTAGGGGTGTATGAACTTTTGTGCTATATGTTGAACCCTGGATTGTTGTATGATATTATTGACATGCCCTAATCGATATGAACCTTGTTTATGTTGATGATTATGTATATGTTGCAAATTGTGGGCTTGACTATTAATATGCTTTACGATGGTTCGAGAAGGTGATTAGGTATGATTTTTCATGATTGTTGTATTTGGATGCACAAGTGGGAAAATATATATTCCCTGGTGATATTATAA